ACATGACATAATGAACTGGTATAAGCTGTCAAATCCACTAAATAACTCCAATACTTTATCAGGAACGCCGGCTTGCGATTTGAATATCTTAACTAGTCGTGTGTTTTCTGGTTTAACGAACAGATTTTGCAATCACTGCCACGATAATACAGTGCTTTAAAGCTACCTCTCACGTATCTAACCTGTTGAGTGCAGCGTGGAACTGGTGCCAGTCGTAAATTATCAAAAATCGTAACTGTGGCATGTTCCAGGGGTCTATTTCCTGCTCCGTGCTGTTTTGACTCTACGAAAACGATTCAAATTTTTTCTATCGTACGTCTTTGATTAAAGGTACAATTAAAGTTCATTACGATAACCTCTAACTTGCTATAACATAATTAATTGAAAACAAGCGATCTGTTTGTTGCGGCAAGGACGCCTCCTAGGTCCGAGATTGTTCACAGAGTTTGTCAGTGATACAAACGACGTAAATTCTTGTCATTATTGATACGATTTTGTGTCTGCGTTGTTATGAATGAAATTTTATATTGTACGATAGGCTCGATTCAGATTTAACCAATCACCACCGGGTGAATCCGGTACGATAAAAGTGTTATTAGACACGCGAGTGGGTATCTGAACGTGTTCGCTTCCGGGTACGATAGATTGTCGTTTCCGCTTTAAATTGCGGTTTATTAGAACCGCAGATTGCGCTTTTCAGTTCGACGAATTATGGCGAATTCTAGAAATTGATAAGGAGCAAACCGCGAAACGTATTTTCCGCACCAAGCAAGGGTTTATTTACCTGTCATTAAATAATTAAATTAAATTGGTATCATTAAAGTTAAATTAATTACCTCAATTAATGTACAGTTTGATAGTAAATTGATGTTAGTTTTCATAGATGGTACAACAATGGCGCAGTCGATGAAGGAAAACCACAAAGAGGGATTTATTTGTTTGTTTTCAGTTTGGATGCTAATAATGTCATCCATGTTATTCTTGGAAAGTTATTCTACTACTTATGTAATGATAGAATTATTTACTTAGTGTGGAGAATGTGCGAACACAATCTAGTTGGTGTCTATGAATAAAACAATTGTTGATTGTCTTTTTAATTAATTGAGATAATTAAAATCAATCAACCTTTTAAAACAACTAACAACTTTTACTGTACAACATGTATCAAAGGGCTCGCCATTTACGTCATAACAGTAATGAAGGCCATGAATAAAAGTGTTTTGAAGACCTCAAATTCTGACTAACTTTTTAGTTTCGTAGAAATCACGATTTGACGGAAAACGAAAGTGTGTCTTGAAGATGATTCGTAAGATTTTCTACGGCAGCGAGAGCAACTATGTTTTAATCTGGATTTCTCGAAACAGACAATATATCAAGCCGCTTGTTCTTGATGTAGCAGAACAAATAAACACGTGTGAAATATAAAGTGCACAGGTAAAAATTATACGCGTGCCACCTGGTGTGAGAAGTCGTTAATACAAGCTACTCTTTGATCTTAATTTAAATGTTTAATATTTTGAGACGGCGGTTTTGATGGAGTGGGTTCCGTTTCTTATACAACTCGTCTTATTGTGCGTAAGATGTTTTCCTCTTCCGCTTCGGCACAAATGAGAATTAATGCTAATGACACACTTTACTCTCTAGTATTACTTCAGTAATTTTCATGCGCTGTTATAAATATTGACATTTGTGTGTTTGTGCTCATTAGGAGGTCGCTTAATAGCTCTAATAAGAAACCGAAATTGTCAGTGCATTAACGAACGCCTCGGAATACTAAACTCACTTACTTTTTAATGGAAAAAACAAACAGAATTAACGCGTTTGGAGAAAAATCACTGCTAATAATTAGGAAGGCGGGCTTTTACGCACAATTAGAGGAGCATTTTGTCAATAAAGCCGTTCCGATAAGACGTCTGGGAAGCTAATTGCCTCTGAATCATGTTAAACATCCTGATTAAACACATTTTTGTGGACAACAACTCGTCTGGGCGGGCGCGGGCTTCTGTTTTGACGCACGTTGCCAGTGGCGGATCGTCAGGGTTATAGGACGCCAAAAATCATTCGGCCACAACTTAGCTTGTAGTCCTTTATCTTACTTTCATGATAACCCGCCAACACTTACAAAAAATTAAAATTACGTCAAAAAAATCTTTAAAATTTAATGTTATAGTTACAATAATGTGCCAAAATTAAGTATGCCATCATAGGCAGGTTTCCCCTACATAGGAGTCTATTTTTACTTAAATATTATCTTAGACGTCAAACATAATAAAAACGCAGTATCTTCTAGTTCAGTGTAATGTCGTCAGGGATTACTTTTAGGTCCTTTATTTTTTACAATTTTCGCTAGAGATATACTTTGTTCTATCAAAAACACAAAACACGAAAAAATTCTAAATTAAATTACTAAAAAGCACGAAAACGATGCTTCAGCCCCGAGGGAAGTTCTATCTAAATAAACTTAGACCATTTTTTCTTTTTAAATTAATTTCCTTAGCATTTTAAATTACGTGACATTTTAAGACTTTAAAACTTTGAAGATAATCAGATCGCGTTAACGCGGTCTACCGCCGGCCGGTTACTTATTAAAGTTGTTTTTTGACAAACCTAGCCGCTCTAAGAATAGATTGGCGATAAGAAAACAAAACAGATTTAGTCGTATCCGTGGAGATCTGCAGGGTTTCGAGGACGGTTTTCGCTTGGAGGAATTTTCCGACAAGATGAAATTACGTTCAATCAAGTAACTCTCATGTCATTTTTCGCCGAAAGGGGAAAATATGCTCCGAATGTTGTTTTTGTAAAGTACACTCGAGTTGTGCTTATTCAGACTTTCGAAATCTCCATAAGTTGAAAGCCATTTGCTTCCAGACAAATGCCCTCGAATTATGGTATTTTTTTGTACGTCTGCTTTTCAGGAGATTGATCGATGTGGAAAAGTACAGTGCCTGAAGTGGGACAGGGGTTAAAAGTGCTCTGAAAGTCTAAATGCTTCTGGTCATAGCGTTTATATTGTTTAAGTCTGTGAGTTGTGACGGCGATTTCGGTTATTTTAGTCCAAAAGTTATTTAGAATATTAGCATTTAGATAAGTTTGCGGCATTATGAAGCAAGATTTTGTAAATGTGGGGAATTTTTCTAAGCGCGAAATGCATGGAAAGAAATGACAAATAAAATTTTTCTAGGGTTGGATATTATAAAAAAAAAAAATAACTGAAAAGAAAGTTCTAGAAACTCAGTTAAACTTTTACTGTTAGGAATCTCGATTTTTTACTTCTCTAAAAAATTCACAAATATCAAATTTATTGTTATTGATGATGACTCGATTATTCAACAAATTCAGTCAATGAGAGTAGTCTAGCGAGTATCGCGAAAATTTAGACAAATTGCGCCGGAATTATTTTGTACATAACCGCTGTGTCGTGTAAACTTGAGTTATTGAGAAATAAATTATTGAGTTTAACCCACGCCGATTTTAATCACCCGTTCAACGTAATATTATGTTGACATCAATGATCAAAGTAGCCAATTATTAAGGAACGGATTTTAGGCTAAAAAAGTCAAAATAGGCTCTAAAATGGGTCATAAAATCGGGGGATTTAGGCCTGAAAATGGCAAAGAGTTTTAGGAAAAATAAATTTTAAGCAAAGTTTGGTTTTCTTTGAGATCTACATTTATTTTATTATTTTAGATAATCAGTGATCCTAATCTACATTAAAATTTGCATGACATATTTTAAATAAATATTTTTCTAAATTTTCTACAGCAAAATTTTTTCTTTTGTCTGTTAGGACATTTTTATACCTAGAGAAGGATCTCTCAACATGTTAAACTAGAATATTTAAAACTAGAAATTTCAGTGGTTTCATTTTTAAATCTTTTTCTACATTTTCGCTTTGTAATACTTTGTTGACAGGTTTAAGCCAAATGTTTCATTTAATTTAGAATTGCACAACAAAATTATGAATAACAATAAACGAACCTTTTTCATATAGTCAAAATGATCGCACTAATATATTGCCACTTCGATCCATGAACCATCTGGTCAGAACAGGTTCTGGGGGCAATGGACAATCGGCAAGGCTTCTCAGAAAACTTGGATCCTCAAATGAGCTTTAAGAAATACTTTCTTTACGTTGGAAAGTAAATCATTATCATCTTCATGTTGATTCCGGATAACTTCAGCTACTAAACTTAAGGCGTGAGCCAAACATGTTAGATGAATTAAGTTGGGATAAAATATTTCCAGATGTTTTAGTTTTTCGTATTTGATTCCTGTTGGCCATAATATCTCTGTATTATCATTTCAGAAATTGGGTCACAGACTAAATTTAAGTTCGGCTTACTTCAGATTAGTTACCTTGCCATATAGCAAAGTTGCAAATTTACTTTAATTGTGCAACAATATTAATGCAACTTTTCAACCGTGTAGTGGTAAATATAACCAATCTGATTAATGTAAGTCGAAGCTAATTTAAATCGATCCGAGAACACATTTAGATTTTATTTATTTATTTATTTATTTTTCAAAAATTGATACTTCTATGTAATTATTATGCGAATTTATGGAATTAATTTCACAACTAGTTTTCCCATTTGCATTGTGGAACATTAATAATTTATATTTACAATTTTCCCAGAGGCTTTACAGAAAAATTCTCCATTTTCTATTTGAAAAACGTATTTTTCGTCCATTCCATTAACTTGTCCTTTAAAGACGTTTTGACTTTGGGCACTTTTAAAAATGCCAGAAAATACTAGATGATAAACAATTTTTAAAACACTTTTACACTTTTGAACTCCACTTTACGAAAACCCAACACGAACTATTGATACAGGAAGAAGACTCGAAAAGAAAGTTGTAGGAGGGCTTGATGTATTTAACACATCAAAACTCTTCCTAGAAAATAGATACATTTGAGTAAATAAAATTTTCCACTCTAAACTGCTAGAACACTATATACACAACGTACATTAGTAGTTATTTTTTTTTTCGTTTTCCAGAATGGTTTCGTGGAGTGCAAGAGCGACATGTACTGCCCCCCGCGAGAGGGTTGCCACATGATAGTCGAGACCAGCAGGGATCAATGCTGTCGAAAATGCAAAGGTAGGTTTAGCCATCCTTATTAAAATCACCATAATCCTTCGAATTTTACAGGATGTACCTACCGCAACAAACATTATGAAAGTCACACGGAATGGACGGACCCAGAAAATCCCTGCAAAGTCATGCGGTGTGAAGCAGGAGTTGTCACCGTGTCAGATTTGCAGTGTTACACGCCTTGTGCTAATCCTTTGCCACCGGAGCCCGGAAAATGCTGCCCGACTTGTCCCGGTAAATGAGATTTTCTCTGTTCGATAGAGCTGCTCCTATGAGTTTGTTTTTATAACAATTGTTTGTTGACGGTACAAAGGCATTCCTGGACCAATCGGTCTTTAATGAATTCATGAAAGGGTTCACGAAGAGTTGATAATTCTGTTTGAATAAGCAATAATTAGGTTCTTTTCAGCGATTCAATTACCATTTGTGGTTTCTATCGGTAATTAAATAAGTGGGTATGAGCACGACTGTGCTTTGTACGATTGCACGGACAATGTTGATTAATTTTATTTGCACTGTTTGTTACTTTAATGAGATTGTTTTAATTTGTAATATTTCTAGCTATGTTTTTGGTTTTTCCTGAAAATAAGATAATAACCGCTAAATTGTGGGTGATTTTCGAGACGCGGTCCGCACCTGTAAACAATACTCGGAACTGATAACATCGCATTCGCTTTGATTATTATTGTTTCAGAAAAATTCCTAAATTTTCACAGTTGTTTACAACATCTTTCATAGGAAATATACTAAATTATATTTCTCGGAAAATTCTGAAAACGTAAATAAGATCATAAAAAGGTACTGTTTTTAATTGTTGTTACTTTATACGGTTAAAATTACATTGCTTGCTGCCCTCGAATTACCAACAAAGTTATAAAACATTGTTTACGCATCCATTATTCATAAGATATCATTACAAATTATTTATGAAGAGTTAAACACGGAATCATAATTACCGAATCGTTTTTATTTTCTGCGAAACCTGAAATTGATGTTCATAAAAGCGTATTAATGATACCGCTCGGAGCTGGATCATTTTGACTTGCTTTTAACAACAAAAGTAAAAAATCGAAACCTTAAGAGAAACGACCGGTGGATAAAATCTCAAAAACATACAATTTGAGTTTCTTGCTTAGTGACACATTTGGTTTAAACTCATTTCGACAGAACTTCCTTTGCCCTTAAAGTATAGTCGTACAAATCCTGCTTCTTTAAAAATTATAAAATTTGATATTGCGGTTTTCGGTTTGTGGTAACCTCTGTAAAGTAAAAACCAGTGGTAATTAACAAGTGCGAAAAAATGAAGTATTCTCAATTTTTTAATACATGCTTAACTTCGACTGTTCATGTTTATATGTACTTCGAAAGAATTTGACCAGTAGAATGTTTAAATTACAAACATGAGGGGTTCAAAGACAATAATGAAAATAAGAGGAGTCATTAAATAATTAATTACGATCAGTTTTTTCCCAAAAAAACAAAAACTTGAAAATTTTTTTTCTAGATGTCTAGAATAAAAACTCGACACGAATTAAATTACAAATACAGAAGCATGTTATTTTAAAAAATTAAAAAAACATTTATTCGACAGAATTGTAAGATGACGTCATAATTTTTTTTGGGAGGCCATTAACGAATAAATTTTTATTAACGATTTAGCTGACGCTCACGAAGTAAAAACCTTAAGATTTAGCGCTTTTTGTACGATTTGACAGTTAATTTTCGTGTTTTATCAAAAATCCAAAAAATTAATAACGTCATGTTTAGATATTGTCAAGTAGATCCCACTTTAAATGTGTAACGTAATACGTTGTGGTTTCACAATCTGTCCATATTTTTAGCCTTGTTTACATGGGTTGTCCTAAAAAAAAACAAAATTTGGGTTAGCAAATTTTACAGTTTATTTCAAAAGTTACATAAAAAACTTCATTGAAATTTCGATGAGATACTAACATTATTGAAATTTATTCATTCTTTCAGAAACTTGATGATGTTGGCTCAGAAAATTATTAAATAAATATCTGTTGAAAAATATATCGTGAGATGCAATATTGCTTGTGTATTGAGGGTCTGCTATTTCTTACTTGTACGGGATCTTCCAAAAAATTATAACAGCAAAATTTTTGATAGTTATGACATTTGACACATCAGGGGTCAATAAATGTATATTTAGATTTGTCACCATCTTCATGTCCATTTTTTTAGTTGTCGTGCCCTTTGTTTTTTATTCCCCAAGTATTTTTTTTATTAATTTCTAATATATCTAAAATATTTAAAATTTGTTACCTATACAGGTAGCAGTTTTGAAGAAATTTTGAAAAATTTATTGAAATTAAATCACTGGAATTAACTTGGTTAATAAATGTGTGCCATTCAATATTGTTTCAATATGATGATTAAATATTTCCTTACAAAAATTTACCATTTGAAACGTGTTTTAAGTATCTAAGAATAAAAAAATCATCACATTTGAGATGGGGTGGGCGGGCGTGCTTTATATTTTGTCTTTTTTTCTTAATATACTTAGTATTCTTTGAACAACACGATACTCAAAAACATGTTTTTAATGTCTTGTAAAAAATAAGTATTTACAGTTAAGCTCCGCCCCCTTGATTCACGGCGAATAAAAAAATCATCACAATTGCGACAGGGCGGGTGGGCGGGCGTCCATTTTGCCTTTTTGTTTTAATATGTGTAGACTTCTTTTCACAGCATGGAACTTAAAACATATTTAAAATGGAAAATTTGTATAAGGAAATATCGATTTTGCAATTAGGCTCCGCCTCATATTTGCAAAATCCATATTTCCTTGCAAAACATTTTAACCATGTTTTAAGTTTCTTGTTGTGAAAAGATGGCTATGTATATTAAGAAAATAAATTCAAAATTAAGCCCCGCCCACCCGCCCTATCTCAATTCTGATGATTTTTTTATTCGTCGTAAGCCAAAGGGCGGAGCTTAATTGTAAAATCCTTATTTCTCTATGAGAAATTACCATGTGAAATATGTTTTAAGTTCCTAGTTGTGAAAAGATAACTACACATATTTAAAAAAAAGGTAAAATGTAAACCCTTGTAGTTATAATACCTAATCTCTTTTTGAGACGAATAGCAATAAATCTTGTTGATTTAAACGTTGAGAACTATCTTTAACAATGCATAAGTACTGACAGAAAGCTACAGTGTAGAAAATGATGGCAGCCATTTAAAATGTGAGGGTTTCGGTGAACAGGCGATTAAATAGCTTAATATTAGTGTACCTCATTACCTCTAAAATTAGATTTTCTTGGAATTAGAGTTGTGAACCAGAAAAATGTCCCCCCTATCTGAGGAGATTTTTCGTCAAGTTGGCAGCACTATACACTACCGCAATTTGATTGGTTGAAAACCCAACGACAGCGACAACGTAACGGCGAAAGTTGAAAGTTGGTGAGGTTGGTCAACAGCAACGTCAACGGATGATATAAACGATGCATACGTTCGCTGCGCATTATTTATCTTATAACGGCAGCGTCAACGACAAGTTTATATATAATTCGACCTTTAAGCATTAAAGCTTTTAGAATAATTATTTATCGTAAAAAATCTTTATGTAATAGAAGCAAACAGTTTTTGAATTGAAATTCACCAGTCTTGATTAAAAAAAAAACTTGCTGTTAGTAAAAACCTTGTTGGGTAATACTATGATTAATCAATTAATTAATACTCAATTAAATAATGTAAACACAAAAGAAAAGAAAAAAAACTGCAGAAAAAGTGTAGCATACATGTTAGATGTAATGCCATTTTCCATTAGTTAATTATTACCTATCAAATATTCTTTCAAAAAAATTAAAGCAAAACAATAATTATCGTTTTTGATTTTCACGTTAAAAACCAATTCTCCCTCTCTCTCAGAATGCAAAATCAACGGCCAAGAAGCCACCGACGACCGCGACGTCATCTCCGACGACCACTGCCTCAAGTGCCGCTGCAACAAAGGCAAGATGACCTGCTCGAAACAAGCCTGTCCGGTCCTGCAGTGCACCGCCCGAAGCCAGTACCACCCCCCTGGCGAATGTTGCCCGGTTTGTCGAGGCACCCGTGCCGTCTTAACCGTCGCCAAAACGTGCCGCCTCCAGGAAATCTTCATGAGAGAGGGCGAGAAATTCAGCATAGACAAGTGCACTAACTGCACCTGTCTCGACGAAACGTCAATCTGCCACCGATCGGCGTGTCCGGTCTTGGACTGCGCCCCCGATTTGCAGAAGTCCGTTCCTGGAAGCTGCTGCAAGCAGTGTATCATGCCTGAGGAAGTTCGCACGCAGTGTAGTCAAGGTGGACGGTATTATGAGGCAAGTTTTCGGGCTAAGTTTGCCTAAGAAAGGACTTTAAAGAATTTTTTGCTAGGTAGGATGGTCAGTCGTGGGATTTGGATGCTTGCAGGAGTTGTAAGTGCCACAGAGGGATGCCGAGTTGTGCTATGACGAGGTGTAACGTGACGTTACCGTGCGCTCCGGGGACCAAACTGGTGCATTTGCCGGGAGAGTGCTGCGAAAAGTGTGTGGAAGGTAAGACGAAACTTCAATGGCTGTGATGTTAATTTTGACCGCACTATTCGTCTTTAGTTGAGGGCGTCTGCATGGTCTTCGGGGATCCCCACTACAAGACTTTCGACGGCAAAATCTACACCTTTCAAGGTTTGGGCAAGTACATGTTGATCTCCGAGTGCAAGAGCCAAAGCTTCTCCATCCGCGTCGCCAATGACTTCCCCAACAAAATCTCCAAGACCTATGCTATCACCAAACGAGTGGCGGTTCGCTATGGTGACATCCGGCTCAATCTACAACAGAAAGGTCGCATCAAGCTCAACCGCAAGAAAATAATGCTACCATATAAGAAAGACGGCAAACTCCGCATCGAGAAAAAGAACGGCAACGTGGAGGTGTTCCTCCAAAACGGCGTGAAGATCTTCTGGAGCGGGAAAAGCTTCCTCGAGGTGACGGTTCCAGCGACTTACAAGAACAAACTCTGCGGTCTTTGCGGCAACTTCAACGGGAACGTGCAGGACGATCTGAAAACGAAGAGAGGTCATTTGGTTAGGGACAGCGAGATTTTGAGCTTCGGAGGGTCCTGGTGTGCGGGTTCTAAAGCTACCTGCGCGGCTTCAAGTAGAAACACCAAGCAGTTGGCACGAACTACTTTCTGCAGCAACTACCGGCCCGAGAAGAATCAGAAGAACCGTTGCAAGTTTTTGGGGAATCCGGAGTTGGTTGGCGAGTGTGGGTCGAAGTTGAATTACTTCAAGTATTACAGAACCTGCAAGATGGATATGTGTAAATGCCCTAACGGGAAGTGTTACTGTGATAGCCTGATGGCTTATGCTAGAGAATGTGAGAAGTTGGGTGTGAAACTACCGGAAGATTGGAAAGTGAAGAGTTTGTGTGACGACGAGAAGATCAAAAGGCCTAAATTGGTGAAAAAGCCGAGTTTTACCACTGTAGACATCCAGAAGTACATCAAACAGAACCATTTCAACAGGACGAGGAATCCGCTTATGATACATTGAGAAATCAAAAAAAGTCAGCTAGTCAACTTCAGTATTTGCCAGCGCTTGTAGCTAATAACGTCATTGTACATAATTTTTGAGTATTATTTGTGTTTAAAATGGGGTGGTTTTTTGTAAATTTCGAGACCGCGTTTGCAGCAAGCCACTCGAGCAATAGACAGTGTGCAAATTCATGTTCTGAACCAAAGAAAGTTTGTATTTTTGCTTGAATCTCACATTTAAAATTGTTTTCTTTAAACAATTATTTGTATATACGTTTTAGTATTCTAGTTATATTTTAAAGATCTCTGCTGTGTAATATAAGTGTAATTTAATGTAAAAATTGTTCCTAAATGGTTATCTACTTCAGCTTCTTTACAACTTGCCACCTGTGCGTTATCTACGAATGATTTCAATCGATGTAATTAAAAAATGTATAGACGTGTGTATTTATCTTGTAAATGTTTGGTGAAAAGTAGCACTATAAGTGAATATCGTACCTATTTCTATTATGCATTAAGTTTGTATTCACATAAGACGTACCTCTAATATTTATTTTATTTAGTCGACGACCTAACAGTAAAATAGGAAATTCACGTTGTATTTTATCATCTATTTATTTTTATTGTATTTTTTTTTAAATTCCCTTGTTTTAAAAACTAGTTGTATAATAAAGGATGAACCTGATTTTGCCTCTTTCTTTACAACATGAAGCGTTATTCCAGCAGTACTTAGAAATGACTGATCGAAACCACAACCATAAATACGATAACCTTTCAGTAGGGTTTTTAGAAGTGTAATAATAAAGAATATAAGTGCGACTACGATCAGTTTGCGTGAGACAGTGGGGCCGAATCACTTCACTGATGTTCCTATTATCAGCACTAAAATTTTATGTTTGCGTAAGTAATGGATTCCTGGTGTGTATTGTATGTTGCCTATAGGTGAAATAATGCCCAACCCTATGCTCTCATCACATTTATTTACCCACAAATACATGGATTTTAGGTAGAAATAATTTAAAAATGACGTCGCACCCGCGTTTGAACGTTATAAATTATTATTGCATTTGATATGTCCTAGTAACTAAGGAGTGAGTTCAAACGTGGGTGCGATTCTTCACATATAAAATCTTGTTAGCTAAATCTCAATTTTATATAAAAACAAAACAAATTTTATTTATACCCCATCGTTAGTGCGTATATTTAACAGTGTTTTAACTAGTACATTTAAAAATTTAAAGAAATTAACAATTTCCTATTTAAAGCATAGACTATATATGATGTCGGTCAGGTAGTTCCATGAAGATGTCGTTAACGTTTCACATAAATATACACATTTCGATAACAGTCTTTGATCAAAACTTGTATACATATTAATCTAATTTAATCATTTACACAAAAGTCAACATCTTCATAAAATCTCTTAAATACTGTTTGTTATTTTAGTGAACAGGCAGTAGCCTTCCATAACGGAACTTTGAATTACTACCCGCATTATATCTATTACACCTTTTGAAAATAATACACTACATTGCTACAACATTTAAAAAGTGACAGACTATAGAATATTAGATATAGGATACGAGATAGCAGATCGACAGATATGAAAAGTACGAGGACGTGATGACAGGGATTTTTGGTAAAAGCAATTTGCAGCAATAAACAAACTATTGTACCTTACAGACTATCTCTAGAGTAGTTCTACAAATAATCCACATCAAAAATGTCGGTAAGTTGTAAACTGAACAGGTAATCTACACATGATTCAAAAGCTTTCCATTTCCAAAATCAACGGTGTACAGTATGTACATAAAATCGATATATTTCATCACATTTTTGATATGTGTGGTATCTTATCTTTGATATGTTTTAGCAGCCTCTTTCATTTTCTTAAATTTAAGCTAGATTTGTACCCTAAGTTGTTATGGCGTTAAATTTGATGTAAATGCAAATGTACAGAATGTGGGTGCAGACTTGACGTTCATTAACCGAATAAGCACTTGAGATATTCACTAAATTTTGGTGTTGAACTAGCTTGTTGTCTTTCTCTTTACGTTGTGCCTACTGTAGTAGATACACAATTGATTACTAATTAAGTGTAAACGTATGATGTTGCAGGACCAAACTTTACCAGTTCGTTTGTGTTAGACCTTATTTTAACATCAAAATACACATGAGTGGGTTATTTTAAAGTAATTTGTTTCCCTTCAGTGCTCTATAAGGTGTGATAATACAAAAAATTGGGAAAAGTTGCCATAAAATAAATCCGTGTCTATAATAATCGTTGCACTTGAAGGAATTTCCTGATTACTCGTATACTAAAAATCACCAACAGGTGCAATACTAAAGTGCGTGAACAACGACATACTGGTCCTATTAGTTAGAAAACACGTATCGACTCAATAGGCGGGTTGCTCATGCGGTTTTCACATAATTATTGCACCTGTTATACTTGTAGGTAGTACTTTTATAGTAACTTTATACATCCTCTATTATTATTTAGATAGTCGTTATAATAAGATTTAACATTAACTTGAAAATAATTTTCCTAGTCGTACCACGATTTCACAATTTATTGTTGTTTAAACAACTAAGGAACGTCTAAGACGCTAATATAATTGTAGTTGATACTGTGCGTTAGTAATATTACAGTGTATGGACTGTATGGGAGTAGTGAACGCTAATTTCGCCTCTTAGATGTGCTGTAGCCTGTGCCATGGAGACTTTTTTCTTCTCTGGTGTTTCTCCTCCGCAGTAATATGTTCCAAAGTTTGTACTTATTTCACAATATCTCACAATGCGCAATTTCGGCATTGTTGTTTCGGTTAATCAACGTCTCCTATATTTAATTAAGAAAGATACATAACTCCTTGCAGACGCTTTAAATGTGAGAGTCCAACATAAGTTTCCGGAGAGTTGTTCAGCAATAAACAGTAGTGTAGAATAGAACCGAACGAAATTCTTGATATTTTCATATTTACACTCGCGAGGGCAACCGTTAACACTGTTTCGTGCAGTAATGTGAATTTTATTCGCGCTGTATAAATTTGAATATATAAAAGAGAATGCGGCGTCAAATCACTTGGATAAAGTGCAAATTTGAAAATATCATATAACAAGTTCCAATGTGGACTACGAAACCGTAAAAGTAAATAAGGCACTGATCAATATGATCCAACGAAAAAACCGGGTCCACAATAAGCATATCCCTTCGATAAAAAATAATTGGACAAGTTTCTGGTACTTACGAGTAATGATATGTTTTGTGATATGTGTCGTTACGTTCCGTTTGGCACGCGCTTGTCAGCACGCGTCTTTAAACTAATGTAAATTGTACAATAATTGAGCAAAATTGTGCACACTTTGTGCTCCGTTGGTAGTTAGACTATAGAGCGAGAACGGTTGCAATAAGTTACCTAACTTGTGTAGACAAGCAGGAAGTCGACTACTTTTAAACACTATCAGCCTCCTCCTAACAAACTTTAACGCGGAGAAAACTCCACCTTGTCGGATGATTTATAATTCAATACACATTAAGGCCGCGTTTTATCTCACAAAACTTGAGATGGGCTCGTTAAGGCGAACGTATGGGCACGTTTGGTAAATGAGGCTTTGTGATGGGCTGAAACTTCAAGCAGAAATCTTTTTTTTTTACCCACTTTCGCTACCAGGGTGATCATTTTTTAATTTAGGGAACAATTTATGCAACTACATACTCCAAGATAAGTACAATTAGTTATTTATGGTGGCTAAAATTAGCTCCAAAAGAACAAACAAATATTATAGGCTATTCGTCTTTTGAACGGTCTACTGACAGTGAATGCAAATTTTAAATATAAGTTATTTATTCGGCGGAAGTAGCTTTAATTTTAATTTTTTAAGTGCAGTGGTAATTGCTACCAGGCAGAGTTATTTATGCAACGAAATGTAAAAGAAGTTGTGTGAAAATTATTCGTAAAGTTGGGAGCAAAATGAAGACTTTTACAAAAGTTGCACACAACTAACTGAGATTCTAAAATCAGACAAAAGTAGTACGAAGTCTTTACGCAGACGCTGCATCGTTTCTTACATGGCCAAAATAAAATTAAAACCTTGCAGGTCTCTTCGAATAGACGAAAATAACATCAAGGAAAATTAATTAATGAATCTCAGAACATATTAAATTTGATGTCAGTTCAAAATTTGCCTTCAATCTTGATTAGACGACATCAAAGCATGAAGTTGTTACAAGAAACCACGATCATACAGTGTCCTGTACACAACATTATGAAAACAAATAACTGAGTTAGTTTGGTACTTCATGCACGAACTGGTGACCACAAGAGCTTCGCTGCTCTCTACTTCATACTGGAAACCTCGTAGTTATGAGTGAATTTTAAAGAGAATTTGTTCCAGAGCTACATTTACACCCCTATTCTTAAAAACGTTTATGTAGTCGTGCCTTTAGATATATTATAGAAATGTCTTTTTCTGTCTCGAATATTTTCATTTAATTTTCTGAGTGACCAAGCACAAAGAAAATTTTCGTAGTGATATTATAAACATTAAATTTGGATTGTGCATTCCATTATTAAATAATATACGAATATTTTTTATTTAGACATGGTCGATGTGCTTGGCCTCGATTCTGGGGTTGAAATATTCAATTATACAAGAAAACACTAAAAACCACATTATTCTTTGGCCATCCGAGGCCTTGCCCGATCAGCTCGTAGAACTTTTGATTGTGCTTTGCGAAGTACCTCCTCAACTTGGAAACGGCGTTCGGATCGACCCTCGAATGCTTCTTTCCCTAGGTCTCTCTCAGACATTTATTCGACGTTTCCTTCCTCAGGCAGTAAAACCCCTTGGTCACAGCGAAATAAAAGTTTCGCGAACTTAACCGCGGTTCTAGTCCTGGGAAACGTTCGATCTTGGTTAAAAAATAATAAAGATAATTTGCGCAGTTTTAAGATAGCAATGACTTAGAGAAATGTTCTATAACAAGGGTTGCTGACAATTACGACCAAATTGGGCTTGAACTTGTTTGATTTTAAAGAATTATTAAATTATTGCGAGAGAGAAAAGAGCATCTTATCATTAAAAATCGCACATCCTTATCAACAGTTACAAAATTTTGTATATTTCCAATAGCTTAAAAATTGTTTTTGGAGATATGTGTACAAGTAACAACAAATCTTTTGGTATAAATGGTATAAAAAGTAATCTTCTTTTTGTGGTCATGATAACAATTGCAGATCTACATTTTCATTCTTGTCCAAATTTCACAGATTTCTCGGTGGCTATGCTATCCGTAGACGATATACAACTGTAGAGAACATGGCAAAATATCTTGGAACTAATATATTCTGAGATTCTGACAACTTAGGCCTACGTTAAAGGCGGATTTAGATATAACTGGAGCGTTTCCCATTCGTTCCCGGGTGTATTTGTATTTGAAGGTTAGAAAAAATTGAAACCCACGCTGAAGCTACAACCACCAATCTACAGCTTGAAATTTAACACACTTGGAAATTAGGATTCTCTGCTTAAATCTGCCTCATTGTGTAATATTTCATCATTAAGTTGATTTATTGCTTCTTAGCAGAAAATAGTTCTTTAAGAATAGCTCTGACACTATACTTCATTCATTTTAATAAACTGACGTTCGTAAATTTTGCTTAATTTTTGGATTAATGTACCAAAGGCTACAGTTAGACCATTCGGCCAGGGCTGTAAAGTTTGTACGTAATTAATTATAGCAAGCCACGTTAATTTAAAGTAAAACAATGTACAATGAAATACCTATAGTGTGTGTGTAAAATTGCAGTTGCTTCACTTGGAAAATAAACGATCCCATTTCCGTCGACATTGCAACGATAAATAATTTAGTTCACTTCATTCCAAATGGTGCCCATACAAACACTTCGCCTATTCTCTCGTCCCGAAAACCGTATACCTACCAGTGACTTCTAAAGCAAATTTACTGGACCGCTGTATTTTGACCCTCATTTTTGAAAAGGCGTTTCTTAGGCACCTTATCGAAACCTCGCACTATCTCCAAGAGCACCCAGTATATACAAATAAAAAACCCCTCCCCTCCCCCTCCCCCGGTCTCGGAATATATATATACAGCAAACATTTTTCCGTAAGACCAAATCAACTTCTACAGTGGGTTGGAAAACTGCGGGAACAAAAAATGGCCTAAAAGAATTACTTCCCGAAACGATTCCCCTAAGGATAGGCGGTCCTCCAAGCAAAGATTTAGGTATAATTCCGAGCCGAAAATTAGTCGGCGTGACGCCTGCACTAATGTCGTGTAAAATTTCACTGTTAAAATTAGTTTTTTTTTTATTATAATAATAACACAGACATTTCGTAGACATAGTGCTGATTTTAACAAAGACGTTTTTAGTGCTTGAGCCACCAGTCCAGAAGTTGATAAAACAGGACGTAAACTTGATTCATCCCTCAGTTTTCGCAGCCCGCTTAAGTTGACTCGATCTCATCCGAAATGTTCATTTATACAACAAAACACTAAAACCCGCATTATTCTTCGGGCCACCCGAGGTCCTCCCCGATCAGCTCGTAGAACTTTTGATTGTGCTCTCCGAAGTACCTCCTCAGCTTGGAAACGACGTTCGGATCGACCCTCGGATGCTTCCTGCCCTTGGTCTCCCTCAGACATCTGTCGGACGTTTCGTTCCGCAGGCAGTAAAACCCCTTGGTCTCGTTGAAATAAAAGTTATGCGTGCCTATCCTCGGCTCGAGTCCCAGGAAGCGTTCGATCTTCTGGATCTGCGGCACGGGGTCCTCGATGAGGAGGTCTCCGTTGACCACCAGGATCTGCTCGCGCGAGAACACTTCCAGCCACCTGTGCAGGTAATTGTGGTAAATGGAGATGGCCAGGGGGCGGTAGGCCTCGTTGATGGAGCCGTTGGGGAAGAGCGACAGGCTCTCGAAGGACTTGGGAGGGGGAGTCGGGAGCGCCGGGGATGCCGTTGCAGCGTTGGCTCGGAGTTGGGTGTAGTCAGAAATGGCTCTGGTCACGGGCTCACGGACTATTAGCAGGAGCTTTACGCTGGCGTTCATCGCACGGATGCGTTCGGGTACCTGGAAACATTACGGAGTGTTAGAGGGAATGCAAAGCAGAATGTTGATAATTTTTGTTGCGAGGAGGGATTTCAATGCGGAGAAAGCCACAAATTGAATAGACGGCAGGGAGTTGGAACGGTTATTTGATGCCGTTTAGTTATTAAAATAGTTAATCGAGAATATGCCATAGTTAAAATACATGATACTTGTTAAACACGAGTCTTATTTTAAGTACATGTTTTATTAGCAAATTTTTAGGCATTTATTTTTTTTTTGTCTTCATACGAGATATGGCAATACTGTTAAATTGATTGTAATATACCTTTGTAGAAGTTCTTTAATTCACATTAGATATTTTTTAGTTGCGATCAATTGTTAAGGGAAGCATCATCTTAACCAATGTCTAGCTATATGTTTTCTCGGCTTTCATAGATTATTATTGTTATTCTACAAAGTATTTATACAAGTCCATATCAAAAGTAATTCGAAGGGTACATAAGAATAATAATAAACATAGAATATCAAATAAAGTAGAGAGGTTAACATATAACTGTTGTCATGGAAATTATACTACTGTTAACTTTTTTTAACGTCAGAAATCTTCCTGAGCGTAAGCTAAGAAAGTATAGTAATTGAGTCCATTGGACGACTGGCTACTTTTATGTTTTCTCGACGTTTCATGACACCTAGAGTCGAGTACGACAAAATAGGTCTTCCGTTTCCGTCCGTCTGTCTGTCGAAATTATTGAAACGATTGACATCCCCACCAATTTAATAGTATTACACCGCATCTATCCAAATTGAAATAAGTGTCTTACAAAAATGTTCCGATTTACACTTACTTTAACATTACATAATATCTTTATTGTAACTTACAAAGGTTATCTTATAATCTTATAATTTTTCGAAAAATCTGGATTTCAGTTACACGAAGTGGAGGTTGCATAAATTTAGGATAGGAATCGAAGTCAGTCTCCACGTTACTTAAAATTCCATCTTATTTAATAAAGGAGAGACATGTTTCGAGGACTTCAGTCCTCATCTTCTGCTTGGGAAGTAGAAAATCACAAAAAAGGAAATTAATGAAATTAAAATTAAATGTTCGGCAACCTTACCATTACAAAGTTGTTATCTGTTGCTAGGGCATCAGACAAAGAACTTTGTTTTTAATCAAAACCAAGTTTTGACTTTGTTTTATATCTTAAATTCTACTGCTTGTAAATCAGAATTCAATTCCTTTTCTACAATAAAAAAATAAGACACTAAAATAGAGAAAGAAAGTGGGCGGACCTAAGTTTACCTTTTTCGACAGTCTTATAAGCAAGCAATAGCCCCGACCACCCGCCCCAGTCTTCATTCTAGTGACTATTCTTAATATGGTTAATTAATGACAAACTTATTATCTTATTACAATCTTAGGCAAATCTGTTAAACCCTTGGTGAGGAAGTAGACAAAGTGTCTAAAAAGTATTAAACTGGTGTAAAATAAGCATACCAGAAATGAGAATAATATTTAAAAGACAATATTACTGATGCTCCTCCCACACTCACTTAAGCTCCACCTCAATAAATCGGTTCATTGGCTCGCGGACAAGGAAGGCGTTTAAAATTGTACTATTACTTTATATGTTTTTTTTAATATTCCTATGTAAACGCTGACAGCAAGGTCGTTGTGGAAAAAGTATTAAAATTTTATAAAAAAAAAGTTCAATATAGATATAGATTTGTCAATTTAAACCTAATTTGCGTCTCAGAACCAATAAAAGGGGTCATCAGAACGGAATAAGGGTGGGTGGGTGGGGCTAGTTTTGACTTTGTTTTAAATCTTAGATTCTACTGTTTGTTAAATCAAAATTCAATTCCCATTTTATAGTAAACAAAACAAGTCAGTGGAATTGAGAAAGGAGGTGGGTGGAGCTACGTATAGGTTTCATTTACAGTCTTACAAGCAAGCAATAGCCCCGCCCATCCGCCCACCTCTTGATTCTGGTGACCAATCTTAATACTGTTAATTAATGGAAACATTATTATCTTACTAGAATCTTAGAAAAATGTTATACCGTTGGTAAAAAAATTGATAAATCGTAAAATCGTCTAGAAAGTATTAATTAAGCTGGTATTAAATAACCATATCAAACGTGAGAATTACATTTAAGAAGCAATATTACTAACGCTCCTCCCACTCACTCAAGCTCCACCTTAATAAATCGTTTCATTGGCTCGGAGACAATGGCGAGGCCTGAAATTGTACTATATTGGGTCAACTTTATGTGATTTTTTTAATATTCCTGTGTGCACGCTGGTGGCAAGGTCGTTTTTCGAATAGAGGTTAAAACTGTATAAAAAAACGTAGTCGCATACAGATTCTATTATTTGTTAATTTAATTCCAGATTTCGTCTCAGAGCCAATAAAATGGGTCATCAGATAGGAATAAGGGTGGGTGGGTGGGGCTTACTTTTGACTTTGTTTCAAATCTTAGATTCTATCGTTTCTTATTAAATCAAAATTCAATTCCCATTTTATACAACAAACAAACAAGTCAATGAAATTGAGAAAGGAGGTGGGTGGAGCTACGTATAGGTTTCATTCTGAGTCTTACAAACAAACAATAGCCCCGCCCACCCGCCCACCTCTTGATTCTGGTGAGCACTCTTAATGCTGTTAATTAATGGAAATATTTTTATCTTATTAGAATCTTAGAAAAATATGTTATACCACTGGTAAAAAAAAAATTGAAAAATTGTAAACAAAATATCTAGAAAGTAGTAAGTTGATATTAAATAAACAAATCAAACGTGAGAATTACATTTAAGAAGAAATATTATAGACGCTTCTCCCACTCACTCAAGCTCCACCTTAATAAATCGTTTCATTGGCTCGAAGACAAGGGCGGCGCTTAAAAGTGTACTGCATTGTGTCTATTTTATAACATCTTTCTCTAATATCCCCATGTAAACTATGATAGCAAGGTCGTTCTTCGAACAAACGTTAAAATTTTATAAAAAAAAAATTGTTCAATCTAGATTCTATTATTTGTCAATTTAAACCCAATTTACGTCTCAGAACCAATAAAATGGGTCATCAGAACAGAATAAGGGTGGGTGGGTGGGGCTAGTTTTAATTTTTTTTAAATCTTAGATTCTACCGTTTCTTAAATCAAAATTCAATTCCCATTTTATACGAAACAAAACAAGTCAGTGAATTACATTAAAAAGCAATATTACTGATGCTCCTCCCACTCACTCAAGCTCCACCTTAATAAATCATTGGCTCGGAAACAAGGGCCGCGTTTAAAATTGTACTATATTGTATCAACTCTATATGACTTTTTAAATACTCCTGTGTAAACACTGACGGCAAGGTCGTTTTTCGAATAAGCGTTAAAATTATATTAAAAAAATGTAGCTCTATATAGATTTTATTATTTGTTAATTTAATTCCAGCTTTCATCTCAGAGCCAATAAAGTGGGTCATTAAAATGGAATAAGGGTGGGTGGGTGGGGCTAGTTTTTACTTTGTGATAAATCTTAGATTCTACCGTTTGTTAGAGCAAAATTCAATTTCCATCTTACAATAAATAACAAGTCCATGCAATTGAAAAAGGAGACGGGTGGAGTTACATTTGCAGAGTCTTATAAGCACGTAATAGCTCCCCGCATCCACCCACCCCTTGATACTAATGACTAATCTTAATGAATTAATTTAATTAATGAAACATCCAAAAGTCGTAAAATCGAAAACTGAACAATTTAAAACTGAAATCCCGAAGATTAAATTGAAGAAACAAAATAAAATGAAAAATTAAAAATTGAAAACTCGAGAAATTGCTAAATCTAAAAGTTGGAAAATCCAAAAGTTGAAAAACTGAAACACTTAAAAATTTAAAATCGAAGGGTGTTATTTACCCCACTGGTTTTAACTTTATAGAGATCATCAGAAATAAAAAAAATTCATAATTTTTCAACGAAGCGGGATTTGTTGGACTGTACGTTAGGGAAAATTGGTTCAGCAGCTGATCCCTAGTGCATGGCCAGCCCGTAGTCCAGATTTAACTCCTTTGGATTTATTTTTGTGGTGATATATAAAAAGATTTGGCGGAGTTTCGACACTTGCACAGTTTTTTGATCTTTGTAAATTTAATTTTTTGTATTGACTGAAACTGAAATAACAAATAGATAAATAAACATCTCTGTTGTCTTTGGATAATGAACAGGTAGCTCTGATTAGACACTTGTAGCGTTAACATTTTCAAAATATCATTAGCTAAAAGTGCGTAAAACTTTGCCAATCTAGTTAAATTCGTGATAGTTCAGTAAGATACAACTACAAGTGACACTAACTGTCAAAGGCAGGACCGTATTATATAATTATTCAACATTAAATTTTATTACTCTGTAAATGACACCCAAAACAAAGTCTAAACAGAATCTGCCCAATTACTAGTTTCCAATTTGTTAATTATGTTATTAATTTATAATCAATAAATAATAATTAACATAAATCCGGCAGCTCACATAATTCATGTTATTACACTACCAGCTGATAAAGTTACTAATGCCAGGTTTATGTCAGATTATTAATTAATTTTGTCGACAACAACAAGAGGTTGAATTAAAATTGTTTAATGGATGTTGTGTAATTTTAAAGCTTCATTTAAGATTAAATTTCAGTCTATCTGTATTAAAACTGATTCACTCTTCGGAATGAAATGTTTTTAAGCAAATTATTTAGACGTTTACTGCTGCCGCCTAAAAAAGTCTAAAACGTCAATAATATCCATGGAATCTTTTAGATCATTCCATTGCTAAGAACAATGTCAAATTATCAATTATTATGAAAACTTTTTTTTACAAGTAAGTTCCGGGAAATTAATTTTTGTTTCCCCATAGTTACGAATCCGTTTAACTTAAAAACCATACTGCAAAAATTATTCGAAATTTAAATAGAATAGGTGTGATACAACTCAAACTTGAGAAATTTCACGAAAATAGTATATTGTATACAAAGACTATAGTGC